CTCTTAGGCTGGAGTCCCAAGTTAACAGATTGAGGTCTATGAGATATATGGTGCTGCCAGCAGGATAAAGCAATGCCCAGTCATGCCGCAGGTAGCTCTGAGGTTCCGGTAAGAGGGAAGGAACAAAGGATGAAGAAAAGAAAGGAACTAGGAGAAGGGAGATAAAGAGAGGACAGATCTAAGAGATAAAGAAGAGGAAAAGCTGTGTGTTACCAGGTATTGCCCCAGGAACAGATGCCTGAGCCTGAGACACGCATTGATGTTCAACATGGGATAGACCTTCATGAACATCTTTTTCTTAGGGATCAGGTGAAACTGTAGGCCTAGAGTGACTCTTGGAATCTTCAAAGTTTCTTCTCCACAAAAAAAGAACTATGGGTATTACTCTACTCACAGAGCATGTACAGTCTGGCTTGCCCTTATGGTGATGTGTGGACTGGTCCCACAGTATGCAGACCCACCCTTCACCTGCACAGGGGAGGGTGCAGTGACGGAAAGAATCAACAGGACGTGGGAAGGTGCAATGAGTTGATTTTTTATAAATATTCCTGCTATCTGGTTCTTGGAGTTTCCGTTGTCAAGATGTACCCCAACCTCAAGAATTTTCGTCTGGAGACCTTCAGGAAATTCAGGAGTAGGGACCGAACTAGATGATCTCGGTATTTTCCAGATCTGAAATGCCCTGAATTGATGTAATGCTTGCATGTTTTTTAATCACTAATTTTCATAATAAGGGAAAAGGAAGTAATGGAAGCAGGAGGAAAGAGGAGAGATGGAGGAACGGATGAAGGGGGAGGAGGAAGAAGAGAGAAAGGAATGAAGAGAGGACGAGATGGAGGAATGGCATGAAGGAGAGAAGGAAGAACTGAGTGAAGGATGGAAGAAAGGATGGAATGAGGCAGAGAAGGAGGAATGGACAGAGCCACTGTGATATATGTGCTGCCTTACTCACTGTTTAGTTGTTTTCAATTGTGTCCTATTCTCCATGACTCCTCTTGGAGTTTTCTTGGCAGAGATACTGGAGTGGTTTGCCATTTTTTTTCTTCAGCTCATTTTACAGATGAGGAAACTGAGGCAGTGGGGTTAAGTGGTTTGCCCAAGGTCACACAGCTAGTGAGTGTCCTGAGGCTGGATTTGAACTCAGGTCTTCCTGATTCCAGGCCTGGCACTCTATCCACCACACCACTTAACTGCCTGTGCTGCCTTACTAGACCCGAGTGACCGTGAACAATCTACCTGGAGGAGAATGGGCAGGAGGGGGTTGATGCAGAGAAGCCACTGGAAAGAAGCTGATAGGTATGCTTGTAATACGGGTAGGCAGACAAGACAAGGGTAGTCTCTTTGAAGCTCGCTAGAAATATGAACCCCCTCAGACATCCCTTAATAGAGTAGAAGTCAACTGACCTCAGATTAGAGACTGTAGTAACTGGCTTGCTTTGGTCTAGTTGACTCTACCATACATAACCTGCTAGTGTCTGTCCCAACTCAAAGATAGGGTCAGTTCTTAGCAAAACTGTGAAATTGGCAATGACTCTCTTCTCTCTTCTGCTATAGCCACCTAGAAATTCAGAGCCCATTTAATGCTCATTATGTTATCTGCCCATATCCACTCTCCTTGGCCATGAATGCCACATGTCCTGAAACCATTTTTCTCCTCAATGAAACTCTCATCTTTTTAGGGCCCTGTCCTCTACTAACTTTCCTGGAATAAATGGATCTGATTATCTAATTTACACCAATGGTGAATGACTGACATCAGCAGATTGATCCTACCTCAATTACTCAAGCATATTGGTATTTCAGAAGAGGGTACTTGGAAAGGCAGCAGTTTTACCTAAAACAGCAAATCTCTAATAGTAGAATTGGGGCAGTTAGGTGGTTAGAGCTTTGAGCCTGGAGTTAGGTAGACTCATCTTCCTGGGTTCAAATCTGGCCTCAGACACTTATTAACTGTATGATCCTGGGCAAGTCACTTAAACCCTGTTTGCCTCAGTTTCCTCATCTATAAAATGAGCTGGAGAAGGAAATGGCAAACCACTCCAGTATCTTTGCCAAGAGTGACAAAGAGTTGGACATCACTGAACCACAAAAAAAGAAAATGGCGGCATTTCAAGCAGGTAAGACTATATCTGTGTAATGAATTCCTAGATCTAATAGTTATTCCTGTATCTTGCCCTGGCTTTTCTTGAGTCTCTTGTCTTTATACATCTGATCTGCTGTGCCTGTAGTCACCTGCCTCCACATCTTTACTTGTTAAAATTTTTCTCTTCCTTCAATGCTCTTCCTCCAGCATGATAGATATCTTCAAAGATTTTAAGGGATGCCATATGGGGGAGGGATTTGACTTGTTTGGGTTTTTTTTTTTAGGCAGTTGGGGTTAAGTGACTTGCCCAGGGTCACACAGCTAGTGAGTGTTATGTGTCTGAGGCTGGATTTGAACTCAGATCCTCCTGACTCCAGGGCTGGTGCTTTATCCACTGCGCCACCTAGCTGCCCCTTCAGACTTATTTGGTTTGGACCCCAATGGAAGAACCAAGAGCAATAGTGGAAGTCACAGAGAGGCAAGCTTGCATGTGATCTCAGCCAATATCACCTACCAACGAGAGGTATCCCCAAATGGAATGGGCTGCCTGGGGAAGTGGTGGGGGCCCTTTCTATGGAGGTCTTCATGTGGATCACAGATTCCCAAACTTTCTCTGTTCATGACACCCTTAATGTCTTGGTAATTTTTTTCATGGCACTCCTAGTCCAAAAGAAATACTTTACAGTTCCATGCTTTAAGTAGTTAGGTTAAAGATATAAATATCCTTTTGTGAGTTCACTTGGGCATCCAGACAGTTTGGGAACCTTGGATATAGAAGACCATTTGTCAGCTATGATGTAGTGGGGATTCTTTGGTGGGCTAGGGTTTGACTTGGGTCCCTTCTGTTCTTAAGAGTCTTTGATTTTGAGAATCCTTCCTTGCTCCTGTTCCCTACTCGCTGCTCCTATATCTCACATTTCTTCTACTACCTACTACCTCACATGGTTATTATGAGAAAGTCACTCTGTGAACCCTAAAGCACCATATAAATGTGTTATTATGTGCTGAGACTCCTACTTTGCCCTCATTTTCACTAATAATGTATTTATTTGTATATATCTCCCATCTCTCCCTATTAGAGAGTAAGTTCCTTGAGGGCAGTGAATGTTTTTTATTTTAGAATCTTTCTATTCCTTGCCTGGTACCTGGCACATAGCTCAATTGAATTGAGTAAGGTAAAGGTTTCACCCATGTACTCTCCTGGGGGTAAATGGTAGATTTCACTTTCATCTTCCATCTTTGTTCCCTTCACCAAGAGGTCCTTTGTATTCGGCTTCATCAATATACCAGGGGATGTGGGAGAGGGGGTGCTGCTGGTCTTCAAAGGGGGAAGGCTAAAGAAAGGGTCTGCAAACAGTTGATCGCTGGGATGCATTGCTAGGGAAAGCTCCATGCCATGTGCTCATGCTGGCCATTTAGTTCAGCTCATGTAATGTTTGACAGTTGAGGTCAGGTATTTGCTGTTGGGACCTGAAATGTGGACTTTCTGCATTGCTCATGGCCAGCGTTTCCTGGAGCCCACTTCACCCTGTGCCTGGATGGGCCTGGAGAAGCAGAGAGAAGGAAATTTAGCCATGTGGTCTCTACCAATCACCACCCACAAAGCCCCTGACTTCTTAGAAGGCAGGATGACAAAGCTCTGTGATTAATTTTCACCTGGTCCTTGCCCAGTCACAGCCTGAGCTTCCCTCTATAGATTTCCATCTTTTTACCCTTATGTCATATGGGAAGATAAGAATATACACCCTTATGTCATATGGGAATATAAGATCATACTCTACCTCAAAACTGGCCAGAACAGCAGGAAAGCTGCCATAATATGGATCCGTGCAACTATTACTAACTCTGCAGAATAGAACCGGGCAGGGGTGGACTTTCATTTGAGGTCCATGATTCTTAAAAATGGATTCACATAGATAGTAGCCCAGATTTGGGGCAGCAGAAGTAACAGTGGCCCATTGCATGTGGAATGAGTACTTTTGGGTCATATCAGTTCTGACAAAAGCTACACCAGAAAGTCTCTGTAAGCTAAAATCTTAGGGCCCACAATGTGAAGAGGCCCCGACCCCTAATATATTGGCCCGAAAATCACTTTATAGGGCTAGGGCTTTGATATCACTGATTCAAAGTTCTGTAATTCAATCATGGATGTAATGTTACTGGAGACCTCTAAGACACCCTAAAACAACAGTTTTCAAAAATTTTTTTTGGTCTTAGAACCCCTTTACACTCTTAAAAATTATGGAACATCCCCTTTCATTTATATGTCTATACCCATACCTATATACATATATGTATAGATATATTTACATATACATCTCTCTCTCTCTATATATATTTATATATATATCTATTGTTGTTCTTCAGAGGTTCAGACAAGTCCAACTCTGTTACCCTGTGAACCATAGCATGCTAGGCTCTTCTGTATCCATGGGGTTTTCTTGGCAAAGATACTGGAGTGGTTTACCACTTCCTTCTCCAGTGGCTTACCTTTTGTCAGAACTTTCCAACTATGACCTGTCCATCTTGGGTAACCCTGCATGGCATAGCGCATAGTTTAATTGAGCCATGCAAGCCCCTTTGCCATGATGAGGTAGTGATCCAGGAGGGGATATATATCCATACATATCTATATACACATATAGATATGTGTGTGTATACCATATTAGAAATGAAAATGTCTTAGTATTATTAGTATGAAAATAGTTTTGACCTTCAGAACCCTTTGAGGGGGATTTGAGGACCCTTAAGGGTCCCAGAACCACACTTTCAGAGCCACTGCCCTACACCACTTCTGACAGTACACGCTTCAGCTAAAACCTCTGACTTGCTGATGATCAATTACTTAGCTCATTAAGAGCTGGTGTTCAACTGTCCAGGGGCTAGTTGTTGAAGTACACATTCCTTTCTCCATCAATACCACCCAACTAACCTTGTTATTGGATTGAGGAAGTTGATTTATCTTGAAATTCACAAAGGATTGGAGTAGAACTGAAAATGTTGAGCATGGGGATAATTTTAGGTCATTTTTATTAGAAGTGCTTATATTCTATTTTACTTTTTGGATGGAAAATACTTCAACATAACTAACACATGGATTATGAATTTCTGGCTCCTATCAGTCTCCAGCAACTTTGTCTCCAGGGTAAACGCAGGCCAAGTTAAACTTCTCCTCCTCCTAAGAATTTCTCCAATTTTTCCCTCAAAAGATGCTTTCATTTTCCCTTTAAAAGACACAGAGCATTGCAAGAACATTGTTGTTGTTGAGTTGTTTTTAGTTGTGTCCAACTCTTCATGACCACATTTGGCAAAGATACTGGAGAGGTTTGCTATTACTATTTCCTTCTCCAGTTCACTTTATAGATGAGGAAACTGAGGCAAACAGGGTTAAGTGACTTGCCCAGGGTCACATTGTTTAGGGCCAGATTTGAACTCAGAAAGATGAGTCTCCCCGACTTCAGGCTCAGTACTCTATACACTGAGCCATCTAGATACCTTTAGCCTTGACATTTTAGCAGAGCCATAACTAGGAATAAATGTGCTTGGAGCAGGCTCCACAAACTATATCTGGAGTAAAGAGAAGAAAACACATTCTCAGTATGGGTGGATGGGCGACATGTTGAGACACTATAGAATGGTGGGGAAACACAGCCCCTTGGGACACTGGAGCAGCAGAAGAGCGCAGAACAGTGCAGGGTCATCTGGTAATGTACTATTTTTACGAATTATTTTTACCTGTTACCAATTATTACCAACTTCCTTAATTTACCAATTATTATACCATTTTTTTTACCAATTATTTTACCAATTATTTTTACCAGTTAGTATTAAACTAATTTCTGATGAAGGACGGCAAATCCCGTTATTACCCCCTAAATTCAGTACACTGGTACAAAGTCCTAGTTACCGCACCCTAGTGATGTCACAGTATTCTAGATTAGTCGGCCCCATGTTTCCCTAACACAAGTTTCTGTCTCTGACAGTGACATTAAGGGATGTGTGATGGAAAAGTCTGGTTTTTCTTCACAAATTCATTGTCAACGGATTTGGATGGGAAGTAAGATTGGATCTGTGATTTCACTGGTTCAGAGAACTCCCACAAGAGGAAATTCTATCTACCACCGCATGTTGGCACTTTCTCTCCAACTTATAGTCTTAGAGTACTGAGAATCTGTGACTTCACCAGGGTCACACAGCCAGTATGTGGCAGAGACAGGAATACCTCAAATAGCTTTGTTTCTCTTATGAATCTGCCACATATGAATGCATCCAAACCCCCTTTGAGAAGCTGTTTAACCCTTCTTAGAATAAGTTGGTTCCTAGGTTGGTAAGCATGGAAAGTAGCCCTTTCTTTAAAGCAGATGGGGACCAACTTGTCCATTCCCTTTGTCAGATTATAGACTTTGATCATATCCCTTCACAGACTTTTTTCCAGGCTGAAGAGTCCCGGATATTGTTCTATACTTCTATACCTTGCCCACCCCCCTTGTTCAGCCCTCCCATGACTTCTTAAGGGTCAGTGACCAGAATGGGACACAGGATCCCAAATGGTGCTAGACCATGGTTCTGTCCAACAAACCTGATGATTCACGACAGGCAGCCTGGTCCATCCATTCCTCCTTAGAGAGGCCGCCGTGCATATTTCCGGCGGTGCATCCCATCCACTTGCTCCAGGTACCAGGTGCCTGGGAAGAGGCTGTTTATGTCACCAGGAGGAGAGAAATTCACTGTGGGGAGAAAAAGGAAACACTCACACAAAATACTTTGCAGGGATTGTGGGAAGAGGAAGGACTAAGAATTTGTTATAAACCCAAAGTAGAAGCAAAATTACCCAAAAGGTTTACCTGTTTTCTCCTCCATTAGAATGTAAACTCTACCAGGGCAGGGACAGTTTTTGCTGTTTTTTCCTATCTCTAGAATTTGGCATATAGGAAGTGCTTAATTAATGCCTGTTGACTGAATGAATGAGTGACTGTTTAATGAAGGAACCAAAGCACTGGCCATATCATTGTGTGGTGTGGTACAAAGACCATTATATTTGGAGTCAGAAGGACTGGGTTCAAGTCTTGGCCCCTTACCAATCAATCAAGAAACATTTATTAAGCATCTGGGATGTGCCAGGACCTTGGGGAAAGACTTTGGTAATTCAACTCAACTCAACCATCATTTATCAAGCAATACTATATGTGCTAGGTGGCGCCATGGGCCATAGAATGCTGGGCCTGGAGTCAGGAAGACTCATCTTAGTGAGTTCAAATCTGGCCTCAGACACTTACTAGCTGGGTGACCCTGGGGAAGGCACTTAACCTTAACTTAATTCTAACTTAACCTAACTTTATCCTCATCTGTAAAATAAGCTGGAGAAGGAAATGGCAAATCACTCCAGTATCTCTGCCAAGAAAACCCCAAATGGGGTCACAAAGAGTCAGACACAACTGAAATGACTGAACAACAAAAACATGCAAGGCACTGTGCTGGAGGGAAGTCGCTTAATCTCTTAGGGCTTCAATTTCCTCACCTGTCAAATAAGGGAATTTTAATAATGATGATAGTTAACATTTATGAAGGTCTACAAAGGCACATATTAACTCAATGATCCTTACAACAACCCTGTGAAGTAGGTGCCATGATTATTCTCATTTTACAGATGAGGAAACTGAGATCGAGAGAGGTTAAGTGTCTTCCCCATAGTCACATAGCTAGTAAGTATCTGAGGTAGGATTTGAACTCAGGTCTTCCTGATACTGTTTTTATCTACTGTGCCACCTAGGTGATCTCTAAAGTCTTTCAATCTTATAATCTTAGCTTTTGGCTAGAAGAGATTTTGGAAGCCATGTAGTCTGTTATAGGATGTCTGACTCTTTGTAACCCTATTTGGAGTTTTCTTGGCAAAGACATTGGAGTGGTTTGCCATTTCCTTCTCCAGACCATTTTACAGATGAGGCAAATAGAGTTAAAGTGACTTGCCCAGGTCATACAGCTAGGTGTCTGAGGCCAGATTTGAACTCAGGAAGATGAGTCTTCCTGATTCCATGCCTGGTGTTCTATCTACTTCACCACTCAGGTGTCTTGACTGAAGGGAGCCAAGTAGGAGTCTGTTGCTGCTGTGGTTTAGTTACTTTAAAAAAATTCCTAGAATCTGGCCTTTTTTCCCTGGTTAAACGCTTCTCCCCCACTAAAAGTCTTCTCACCCTTTGCTGGTGTTTCTAAATTGAGGTTCCTTTGTATTTCCTCTTTTCTTTATCCATCTTTCTCTTACTTCCCTGATTTTCCCATTTAACAGTGATTTCATGTGGTCCTTGAGAGTCTTGCCCTGTGGAATAAATTTTTCCTTCATTTTGAAGATTTCATTATTTTTCCAATATGTTCTGAAATGTTCTCATCACTAGGTGAGATTGATGCCCTACAGATGCTCTCTGCTGAGTTCTTTCCTATCCTTGGCATTCAGTTTCTGCTCTTGACCTCGTCCTGGTTTCAGCCCCTTAGGCGTCCTTGGGACCAAGTCTATTAAAACAATCTCTCAGCACCTTGATGCTGACTTCCTTGGGAAGTTCCGTGTTGCCTCTTCTCTAGACGACGTTCATTTTTACCCTCCACACATCTTCTTCTCTGTGTCCTACTTCCCTTATTTATCCCTCCTGTTTTCCTAGACCCCAAAGATTTCTCTTCCCAACCACATCCTGTAGAAGCTTAAACCCAAACCAGCTTTCCACAACTGAAAAGATCTCCCGCCCTGACATAGTCACTCCAGTGCATGACACAGCTCTCCTCCCCACCACAGCATGGAGTAGGACATTTTTTCCCCCTACTTTCCCCCTTTTCCCTCACCTTCATGGGAATATTTCTCTCTCTGTAGCATGACTTCAGAAAATTCCTCAGGAGACACACACTTGCGGGAAGCCAGGCGTTTTGGCAAGTCCGATACACTAGACACTAATTTGTCCAGGGGGGAACCTGGAAGAAAGAATATGGGGAGAGAAAACTCATTATGGAGAAGATGAAATATGCTTCATTTTCATGATCAAACTTAAGAAACTACAGTGTTCATGGCATTGAACTGAGTACTAAGGGTTCTTCCATACTAGCATAATCATAGATCACAGTTATTTAATCTAACTTTGTGATCACAAATAAATTTACATACATTTATTTACTCATTTGAACCTCATGACAACTCTGAGGTCAGCCAGACAGGTATTATCACCTCCTTCTTGTAGATAAATAAATTAAGTCTCAGAGAAGTTAAATGATCACATAACTGCTAAGTGCTAGGTTGGTGGAGTCAGAACCTAAAACCAGATTGTAACATCATTGTCAAGTCAAATCAATAAGCATTTATTAAGTTTACAGCCTTCCAGGCACTGAGCTAAGCACTGGGAATACAAATAAAAAGAAAGTCCCTGCCCTCCAGGAGTTTATCTAATCATAGCCTCACAGAATTTAGAGCTGTGAAGAACCCTAGAGTTCATCATCCAGCTCTCTCTCTCCATCTATGTATCTGTCTGTCTGTCTGTCTATCTGTCTCTGTAGCTATCCATCTATCTGTCTGTCTGTCTCTATCTGTCTGTCTCTGTACCTGTCCATTTATCCATCCATCCATCCATCTATCTATCTATCTATCTATCTATCTATCTATCTATCTATCTATCTATCTATCTATCTGTCTGCTTGTCTCTGTATCCATCCATCCATCCATCCATCCATCCATCCATCCATCCATCCATCCATCCATCCATTCATCTATCAATCTATCCATGTATCCATGTATCTATCTGTCTGTCTGTCTCTTTATCTGTCTCTCTCTCTGTCTGTCTCTGTAGTCATCCATGTATCTATCTATCTATCTATCTGTGTATCTATCCATCTATCTATCTGTCTGTCTCTGTATTTATCCATTTATCCATCCATCCAAGCATCTATCTATCTGTCTGTCTGTCTGTCTATTTATCTATCTGTCTGTCTGTTTGTCTGCTTGTCTCTGTATCCATCCATCCATCCCTCCCTCCATCCATCCATCCCTCCCTCCATCCATCCACCCACCCATCTATCAATCTATCCATGTATCCATGTATGTTTCTGTTTGTTTGTCTCTCTCTCTCTCTCTTTCTATCTCTGTCTGTCTTTGTAGCCATCCATCCATCTGTCCATCTATCTATGTATCTATCCATTCATCCATTGATCTATTTGTGTATCTGTCCATCTATCTGTCTGTCTCTATCTGTCTGTCTGTCTCTGTATCTATCCATTTATTCATCCATCCATCTAAGCATCTATCTGTCTGTCTGCCTGTCTCTGTATCTATTCATCCATCCATCCATCCACCCACCCATCTATCAATCTATCCATGTATCCATGTATCTGTCTGTCTCTTTATCTGTCTCTCTCTGTCTGTCTGTTTCTGTATCTAGCCATCTGTCTTTCCATCCATCAATCTGTCTATCTATCTGCCTATCTGTCTGTCTGTCTGTCTATCTATCTATCTATCTATCTATCTATCTATCTATCTATCTATCTACCTGTGTATCCATCCATCCATCCATCCATACATCTATCCATCCATCTATCTATCCATCCATCTATCTATCTATCCATCTATCTATCTATCCATCTATCTAGGCAGGGATTTCAACAGTATCTGGCTCATTGTAGTATGCCCTTAATAAAGACTTATTAATTGGTTGTTGTGAGAATCAGATGAGATACTTAGTGTATGTGAAAGTGTTTTGTAAACCTGAAAAGCAAGTCTGTAAATATAAAGTACTTTTTGTTTTGTTTGGACCTGTGATTGATTTCATCTTGGGGAAAAGTTCCTCCTTCTATGCAGATTGGCAACACCTTTCTTAAGAGTGTCCTGGGAAATCAAATGGTTAAGGATGATTTACTCAGGGTCACATAGCCAGTATGTATCAGAGGTAGCACTTGGCCCCAAGTCTCCCTGATTCCTTGGCTGGCCCTCCCTCTTTAGTGGCATGCTACTTTTCTATATGAAGTGAAATGCTATGGGTACCTCATAGCATCCAGCATGTAGCAGTTGCTCAAAAGTATATTAGCTTGGTGATAAGTAGGGCACTAGGGACCAGCACATGGCAAAATATCTCATTTCTTTGACCTTAAATTTCTTCATCTATCGTTTTTTCCTATTTTGAGATAATAATACTTGTGGGGAAAGTACTTTGCAAACCTTAAAGTGCTAAAAACATAAGAGCTGTTATTTTTATTAAAAACTATTATCTTGCCAGGGTATACTTGATGGAAAATTGAGACTTGCCTGGAGTAGCATCCTGGGAGACTTGAATTGAAAATAAACTTGCTGCCAAGCCAGAGCCATAAGAGAAGGCACCAATCCTGGTCCCAGCCAACTGCTGGGCAGTATGTCTGCCATGAAACAGAAATTACCTTCAGGCAAAGTACTCACATTCAACCCTGTGGCCCCATGTCCATTCAACCCTCTGCCCCAGCCCAACCACACTTGCTCTTCCTAATTAATTGGATGTGACTTCAGGAGGCTTTGCAGCCATTGGGGTTGTCTGAGAAATCCTGGAACAAATCCAGGGACTGGACAGTGTGGAGGAGAGCAGCAAATGTATTATGTTCTTGAGAAACAGAGGAACTGGGAGAGCATTAGAATTAGAGGCACAGAGCCAAAGTAAAGTCTCTCTCAAGGTCAAGGCAGGGGCTCTTAACATTGGTTTGGTTTTTTTTTTGTCATGAACCACTATCACATGTCACTCTTCCATTCAAAATGAGTTTCTTATTGCTTCTGATACAAACTCCTCAGCTTGGAATTTAACACCATTCACAATCTGGCCCCAGTTTACTTTTGAAGCTATTTTACATTATTCTTTCCCCCATCTCCTACTTCTTAACATTTCAATTTAGTATTTATTTTAAAGTTCTTTTATTTTTATATTTTGAGTTCCAAATTCTTTTCCTCCCTCCCAGTCCCTCCCACACCCACTGAGAAGGCAAGCTATATGATATCAATTCTACATATTCTACATTAGTCTTCATCAGTGTATTCTCTGTTTAAGCCAACTTGTTTACTTGTTAATCCCTGCACCTAGTAGTCATTCTGCCTCTCTACTTTTATCCTTTGCATGGGCAATATCACTCCTTCCTGGAGTATGAATGTACTTAGTCCTCATCGGGGCCTCTAAAAGTTCCTGGCTCTCTTCAAAGCTGATCTCATACACACCACTTTCAATGGGAAGTATTTCCTGATCACCTTGGAGTAAGAACTCTCTTCTTCTTCAAAAGAATCCTGTATTTACTTATCTGTGTCCATGTTATATCTCTGTCTACCTCCTAGTCTGTAAACTCTTTCATGGTAAGACTATCTTTAGTTTTATCTTTGTACAGCTTCTGCATACACATGTGTTTGTGTATGTGTACGCACATCCCTGTGTACATCTGTGTGTATATATGCACAGACGTGTACATATACACATAGAATACAAGGTCTTTGAGGGAAGGGTCTGTTTCACTTTTATCTTTGTATACCCAGTGCCTAGCACAGTGCATGGTACATAGTAGGGGCTTAATAAATATTTACTGATGAAATGCTATAGTTATATGAGCTATTCTTTTTATGAACAATGTCTATAGTACTTCCTTAGTGTATCTCATACATTAATATTAAATTTAGTAATCCCTCCTCTTGTTTTCCAATTAAAAACCAACATATTTATCAGGCACTGGGCTAGGCAGCAAAAAAAGATAAATGATAGAGTCCTACCCTCAGAGCACTGAGTCTACTTAGGGATATACACACACATCAATCACATTCTTTTAAGAGAAGAGTCTTGAAAGATAATTCAGGATATACTCTCTGGGTAATCTTTCAAAGACTAGAGCAGGACCTGACCCAGGGCAATAGCAATTGTGGAAGGAACTTGTTTTCTTAGAAAAAAAAATACTCACTGGGAGAGGAGGGAGGCCAGGCACCCATAGAGGGAAGAGGTGTATGTGTTTCCATTTAGAGTGGAGAGGTTGAGTGAGGATTTGGTTTTCTGGTTGAATGTATCTAAAGAGGCTTTTTGAAAAGCTTTCTCTACCTCCTTGTTGAAGTAGGTGTCTTCCAGTTTCAAATCCCTGCGAGATGAGTGAGGAAACAAAGTGAGAGGGACATTGAAGGAAGGCAGAGAGCAGGAGGCTTTTGTAACAGGGCAAGGGGAGATGTTAGCAACAACAATAATGATGATGGTGATGGTGATGGCTATTATTGATCTAGTACTTGAAGGCTTGCAAAACACTTTACAAATATCTCATTTTATTCTTATGACAACCCAGGGAGGTAGATGCTAGGATTATCTCCATTTTACAGATGAGGAAACTGAGGCAGAGAGAGGTTAAGTGATTTGTCCAGGGTCACACAGCTGGTAGGTTTAACTCAGGTCTTCTTCATTCCGAGCCTAGCACTCTATCCCTTGCACCACCTACATACCCCAAAGATGTCTAGGGAAGTGATCTGAGGAATACTTCTGAAACACAAAGCAGATATTCCCTTCAGAAAGTGCAAGATCCTCTTAGCAGTGTGAAGGTTCTTTGTGATTATGCTTCTCTTTGTAATGCTTTGGAGCCATTGACTAAAAAGGAAAGTCACCCCTGCTTCAAATGTGTGAAGGTGGGAGATCTGGGCTATATGAATAGCTCAGCCCCTCATCTGGAAACAGAAACGTGAGCAGCATGGAAGTGGGCATGGGGGCTGGGACAGGTCTGCATATCTGTCTCCTGTGTTTCCAGCCCAGAATTACAATAATGAGCCACATTCCCTCTCTCGATCCTCATTCTCATCAGGGTCTGTCTTCTTTCTCTGGGTTTTCACCTTTTCTTGATAAGTGTGGTTGGCAACCCTGCTCAGAGAAACTCCCTTTCCTCTGTTTCCTTGTTGAAAACAGTTCAGATTTATTCTGAGGCTTCTTTCCTTTTCATTCTCCTATATTATTCTCATTCCAAAGATACCAAAAGGATGGGAAGCTATAGGCTCACAAGATAATAATAACAACAGCAATAACAATAACCACTACATTTACATAGCATTTTAAGGTTTGCAAAATGCTTTCTGCATATTATCCCATTTGATCCTTACAACAACCCTTGTAAGGTAGGTGGTATTATTATCTTCCTTTTACAGTTGAGGAAACTGAGGCAGACAAGTTAAGTGACTTACCCAAAGTCACGCAGCTGGTAAGTGACTGAGGCTGGATTTGAACTTGGGTCTTCCTGACAATAGGCCAGCTGTATTGGATTTGGAATCAGAGGCCCTGAGTTCCCTCTGCCACTGCGGGACCTTGGGCAAGTTGTTTAACCCCTTAGTTTCCTCAACTGTAAAATGACTCCACAGGTTCCTTCTATCTTCAAGTCTATGATTCTATGCTTCCAAACTCTGACCTTAGCAGGGGATAAGGTCTATCACTACCGGAGAGTGGAAATGTCATGCTTGTACTGGAGTGACTTTACTTTAATATTGGGAAGGAAATGAGTATCTTAATGTGATGGGGATTGAGTTAGTATGAGAAAGTTATGGTATAAATTATTACAATCTTTACTTTTTAAACCTCTGATTAAATGGAACCAGATTGATGCTGGGCTGATTTTTGTGTCACTAGGAGCATGGGGGCCAAGGGGAACCCAATCCACAGGTGAAGGACTCAGTTTGGAAGCTGTGGAGGTCTGGCAAGGATTGTGCGTGAATCCAGTTGAGAGTGCCACCTAGTGACCAGTGCGGAGATTGCACCTTTCGTAGCTATTGGTCACTTAACTGCCTTTCCATCTTTAGTTCCCATGTGGAACAGGTGATCCTGTGGAGAATAGGATTCCTACACCTTATCCCTGCTCTCTCCAACGTCAATAGGTTTCTCATTAATGAGAACTTACCTGAAGGCCTCTAGACCCTTGTAGCGGCTATTCTGAACATCGCTGTTGGCTGACAGGAAGTCATTGAACATCAGGCGTGCTACAGACTTCTGGACGAGCTTGCAGAAAGGTGTATGGAAAATCATGAACTGGAAATCATCCAGCGTGAAAGATCGTTCAATGCCAGCTGGTAGAGAAGAAAATACAAGAGAGATTAGTTACTTGAGTCTACTGATCGCCTTTTATGTGTAAGCCACTGTGCTAAGAGGTACTAGGGATACAATGATCAATAACTCGTGGTTTTTGGCTTCTAGGACTTTAGTTTAGTAGGAGGGAAAGAGGTGCATACGAATAACTATAATACAAAGTAGACTATACCGAGAACTACAAAGTGCTATTGGATGTCAGAGGAGCACATTAATAAATGTTAATTGAATATTGTTGAGTGAATGTTGAGGGAGAAGAAAATAACATTCAATTCAATTCAATAAATTTTTATTAAGTACCTACTCTCTATAAGGCATTAGGTATACAAAGACAAAAATGAGACAACTCTTGCCCTCGGGAAGTTTGTATTCAACCTGAGGGTTAGGGTTAGGGAAGGATACAATGTGTATAAAGACTTTGCATTTATTTCTCATGTAATTTATATTTATTTGTACACTTTGTTTACTCTCAATGGAATGCAAACTCCTTGAGGGCAAGGAACATTCTATTTTTGTCTTTGTATATCTAGCATCTAGCTGGATACATAGTAAGTGCTTAATAAATGGTCATTGATTGGATAAATAGATAGATGAAACATTTAGGTGCTTACTATGTACCAAGGTCTGCTCTAAGAGCTGGGAACATGAGCAAAGAAGACTGTTTCTTCTCCGAAGGAGTTTGCACTTGAATGGGGGAAGATGATGTGTAAATGGGAGCTGGAAAGTGGTGGTTGTGGGGGGACACAGTACCCAGTACCTGTGTAGGGGCAAGAGGAAGAAATCTGGAGAGTCAGAACTAGGGCCAGGAGAGAAGTGGGCATGGGTGGCCTCGGCATTTCCTAAAATGGTGGCTCCAAGCAGGAACTCATTAGTCAGAGGAAGAGGCTGCAGAGACATCTCCAGGGTGAGAAAGCTGGTGACAAGGAGGCAAAGAAATCCAGAGATTCAAGGGGGGAGCCAGAAGATAAAACTGTGGAGAGAACTATGACAACTGGGACAGGAGCATGGATCAGGAAAGGCTTTTTGTAGGAGGTGGCACATAAGTTGAGCTTTGAAAGAAGCTAAGAATTCTAAGAGGTAGAGGTGAGAAGGGAATGCATTCCAGGCATGGGGGACAGCCTGTGCAAAAACCCAGAGAAGGAAGATGGCATATTTAGTTCAGGGAACAGCTAGTAGGCCATTTCGACTGGAATGTTGTGCTGGTTGGATTTTTTTTTTTAATTAACGGATGCCTTCTTGTGACCCACCTCATGGTCTGAGTTGTTACTAATACATGAATTTCTGCCTTTAGAAATGAAGCTAAGTGATCAAGCCGTATTATTACTGTTGTTATTGTTATTATTTACTGTCTATTGTAACTGCAAGTTCACCATTTTGGGAGATTCCTAAGTAGAAGAAACTTTTGTATTAAATATGATTTATTCTAATTCTTTTTGCTTGAATATTTAGTTAATGGTTTTTTAGAAGCATTGCAATGTATAGCCTTATAAATTTGCTTGTTAAAAGTGTAATAGGCTTAAATTTTTTTTCTCCTAACTTGTACAAAATATTTTGCCACCTCATCCCATCCCAACCCTCACTACTCCAAGACAACAGTAGCTGCCATCAAGGTGTTCTGAGGATATTTACTAGTATGCAAACTGAGCAGCAAACTGTCCATCCTGAGATAAGTTACCTTTGAATGTCACTGACTATTTTTAGGCTAAGTATAGGAATCCGTCTATTATAGGTGTACGCCTAGATGCTGAGCATCTCCATCTGAGACCACTGAGGGTCCGAGAACAATTATTAGTATGGAAAGGACTGTCCATAATCTAGGCTTACTTGCTCTGATCAATTAGCACTCAGGAAAGATTACCCACAAGTGCAGACACGTGTCATCCAGCCAATTAGCACTTGTATAAATTCAAGAACACATGAAGAGCAAGGGAAGTCACTAATAGAGACCGATGTTAGAAGTGGAACTTTTTCATGATATGATCAGGAGTAATCTAGCCTCCAATTGTATTGCTGCCAAAGACATCTTGTGATACACACGTGGATATGGAAACTTGCATTATGTTGATGGTCCCTTTGGGTATTTCCAATGATGGGCATAGTGCTAGGACCAGAAGGAACCTTATAGGTCCAGAGGACTGTGCTATGAACAGAATAGTCTCTTTAAGAACTTGCTATCTATCTGAGATCTTGCAAGCTGTAATTCATCTCTGAAATAATTCATATCCTTCAATAAATCTCACAAGGATACATCTGAGTTGTAGATTGGATTTTGCTTTCACCTACTGATAGTTCAGGGGTAATGATTACCACATTGCTCTTCATTTAGTGAGCATGAGCTTCTAAATCCTGGGGAATTGGTGACAGAGCTGGATCCTCTCTCCAATTCTCAGAACTGTCTTCATTAATGTGGAACAAGTATAAAGTCCATGTATTAGAGTGATGTGAAATGAATCTGAACAGGTAGGTAAGTGAGACAGATCAGGAGCTCCATATTGGAGGGGCCAGGAGGCGTAGACGATGGCCACCATGGCCTAGCCCTGACTCAAGCTGGTCCTCTCATAGTTAAAGTCAGATGTTGCAATAAAATGCGACACTCATAGGTCATTTAACAGTTAACAAAAGGTTTACTTAGCCACAGCACGGAAAGGATACAGCACCTATATTGGGTAGACTTGTCTCCCCTTTGCTCTATATAGAAAGGCATTTGGTCAGCAAAGTTGATTGTGATGACTCAGATAGCCTTGGGACATCTGCCAAGTCTGAAGGCCCCTACTCTACCTGAGTGGGGTTTCGTTTGCCTTTCGGTGATCAGGAAGTGGAATCAAAGTGGTTTGAGGCCACCAAGAAGCTAAATCAAGCAGACAGTCCTGCTCTGTGCTGTTCTGATCAAACCACACATGGTATATTGTGATCAGTCGTGGATGCTACACTTTAGTAAGAATATTGACAAGTTAGAGAATGATGAGCAACCTTAATACAAGCATTATTAGGACTGGTTGAAAGAAATGGGGGTGTTTATTCTGGAGAAGAGAAGACTTAGGGACATGGTATTATAGATTGGATTTGTATTAGATGGCTAAGGTTCCTCTTGATACCAAGGTACTATGATTCTTCGAAAGTGAATGACTGTCATTTAAGGAGAAAATTTTCATATCTTTTTAGATCTATTCTGTGCTGTCCCCCAGGCCCCATACCTTGTTTCCACTGATTCTGGATTTTCTTTCGATAAAATGCATAGCATCGATCTAAGGCTCGAAGGTAGCACAGAATTGAGAGCTTCCCGTCCACCACAGGGTACTCGGAGGCCAGGTGAGGTTTATAGAAGTCATACGCATTCTCCATGTGGGTTCCTCTAAGTCCTAGAAAGGTTCATTGGAAGTAAGTGAGAGACAGGACAGTGTAAAGGACACATGGCGAGAAAGGATGTAAGGATTCAGATAGTAAGGCTATATTGGCTGCTATCCACCCCTAAACCCAAGCTCACTCTGTCATCCCTCGTGTTCCAAGGGGATTGGATAAATTCTTCCTTTTTGTCATTATATAAATTGTTTTCACAGGGGCTCCTCCTTGTTCCGCAGTGAAGTCTCAAATAAGAGGTGCAAATCTTGAAAGAAGGTTCCCTATATGTTTGGAGAATTATTTCCATCTGATTTTAACCACTCAGTTCCCCCCGCATCCCAAAAAGCATCTATGCCACTCAATTCCTATTTCATTATCCTTCACCACAATACTGGATTTGGAGTCAGAGAAGTTGGGTTCAAAACATAAGACCCTGAACCTTTCTTGGCTTCAGTTTCCTCACATGTGAAAGGAAAGATTTGGGCTTAAAGTCCCCTCCCCTTCTAAATCTCTGATCTTATGAGCCAGGATCCAGTTCCATCAGCCCTCATCTCTTTTGTTTTCTGTTTACCTATTTAGGCAGCCTCATAGATAAATGATGTGGTCTTCTCTAAATCAGAGAAGAGCCCTTATTTACCCCACATCCCCTGCCCCCATACACAGTTTACTTACTCACCTCGTTCTAGGACCAGAGGAGAATTGGGCCCGACCAGCATGGCCACAGCTCCTGCCCCACCCGTAGATCGAGCATTCCCACTGGCATAGACAGCAATGTCACCACATACCACCATAGCATAGCGACCTGTAAAGGGGAGATAAAAAAGGGTAGATGTAAACTTTGGAGGCCTCTAGAAAGGACCATGTTACCATCTAGGACCCTCTCTCTGAGTCAGAGCATCTGGCCCATCATTTAGGGGCAACTTGGTGGCATAGTAGATAGAGCTCTGGATTGGGAGTCAAATCTGGCCTCAGACACTTACTAGCTGTGTGACCTTGGACAAGTCAGTTAACCTCTGTCTACCATCAACTGAATAATAAGAGCACTTACCTCATAGAGGTGGATGAAATGACATCACAGAAATAAAGTGCATAAATACTAGCTACATTATTACTATTCTTGTAGGCATATACTTCATTTATAAGATTTTTAAAGAGTAGCCAAAATATTATTTATTTGTAATGTAACATGCCTACCCTGACATCCTGCTCTGATGCTTAATCATGACACAAAGGTGACCCCGAGTAGAAGGAATGATGATAACAGAAAGCTAAATTGCTTATTTTTTTTTCTGGGTCCAGGTTTGAATTTTATTTGAAATCCTTTAGTTAATTAATTAATTATTTTTATTTCTTATTTTTATTTTTTTTTGTTGAGGCAATCAGGGTTAAGTGACTTGTCCAGGGTCACACAGCTAGTAAGTGTCAAGTGTGTGAGTCTGTATTTGAACTCAGGTCCTCCTGACTCCAAGGCCGGAGCTCTATCCACTGCGCCACCTAGCTGCCCCTTTAATTTTTTCTTTTTGGATAGCATCACATTGTTTGAACAGCCTGATATTTTCAAACTGGCCCTGACTGGCTCATGGTATTTATTACATTGTATAATATTATTAATTAGACAATGTTACACACAAAACAGAACTGCTTATCTTTTGTTTTTATTTTCTCTATAAAGGAAAATCACCTTCTGGTTGGGAGGTACAGAGCAAAAAAAAAATGACTAAAAGGGAATTAAATCATGAGAAATCAATGAGAAAATCCCTTTCAAGGATTCAGATTGGAAGCTGAGTTAGACCATCACCATAAGTCAAGTTGACTTATGTCTTGCCACCGGACTTCAGTGACTCTGGAGGAGACAGTGAGGCTGATGACTTTGCCCAGCTCTGCCTCACTTAAATCCAATTCACTTGCTAGTTGAGATTTCACCCTCCTGATATCATCGGTCCTCTTAGAGAACAAAGGACCATCACACCACCACCACCATCACCACCAACAACAACACAGAGACGGGAATTCTGAGGTTAATTAACTTGTCCAGGGTCACTGCTCATATGAGTTAATGCTTAGGTCTTCCTGACTCCAAGGTAGCCCGGAATGCGATTAAGTTTCTGCCATCAGCTAATGAAAGGGCCACCTTGGCCCTCAATATATATATGAAATGTTATTTTAGTTCATTGAGATCAGTATTTGTAAAGCACTTAGTACAGTGCTTGGTACACAGTAGATGCTTAATAAATGCCTGTTCCTTTCCCTTAACCCTCATCGGACAATGCTTCAGTTGAGTTTAGGGTGTGTGTGTGAGACTGAGAACAGAGGTAAGTTCTGTACGTTCCTGACCATCTTCTTACTATTTTTCTTTCAGTTTCCCTTTTCTTCTTCCCCTCCCCGCCCACCCCCTTTATTCAGGTGTCCCTTTCAAATCATTATTGACCTATCGTTTGTATAGACCAGGGGTGGAGAACCTGCAGCCTGGCCACATGTGGCCCTCTAGGTCCTCAAGTGCGGCCCTTTGACTGAATCCAAACTTCACAGAACAAATCAGCCTTAGCTCCCCCCCCTCACTGGCATAAACAGTGCTTGTTAAATACATTTGGGGGAGAGTTGCTTCTGTGTAGAAAAACCCCTTGGGTAAGTCAACTTGAGAGATGGTGTAGATAAAGTGGAAATAGCACTGTTGGAGAGCCTGGGTTCATGTCCTGCCACAGTACCTTTGGAATCTGGGGCAAGGCACTTGACTCAACCTTCTTGGGCCTCAGTTCCCTCATCTGTAAAATAAGTGGTTTAGATAAGGGACCTTCCAGCATTAAATCTATTATCCTATGAACCTCTCTGGGCTTCTGTTTCCTCTCCTGTAACACTCAAACTACTTATCTCACAGGGCTGTTATGAAGATCCGTGAAGATACTGGGTGTTGAGGTAACATATGCTATTTGTAAACCTTAAACTAGCTTATGAAAAAACTAACATGTAAACACATATAAATGTAGCCCACATAGAAATGTGAACTAGTATTGGAACCTAATAATGAAGCAGCCTGACGTCATAGAGGGATAGAGGGCCTGCCTCAGAGACCAGGATTCAAGGGCCAGGTTTGAAAATGTATATTGCCTATGTGATCTTGGGAAAGTCATCCATCTAACTTCTCAGTGCCCCAGGAAACTCTCTAAGACTTTATAAATGGCTGAAGAATTGCCATTCCAGTAGAATGTAAGCTCACTGAGGGCAGGGACCATTTTTCATTCTTGTCTTTGTATACCTAAAGCCTGGCACATAGTAGGTGCTTATAGACATTTATGGGATTGTATTGATCTGCTCTGCTAGAGGGAATGTCTTCACTACAAAAGACCCTATGCTTCATGTTAAATGTTGATGATTAAGGTAAAGGAATCTTTCCTTCTCTTCCTTCCTTCCTTCCTTCCTTCCTTTCTTCCTCTTTCTTTCTTTCTTTCTTTCTTTCTTTCTTTCTTTCTTTCTTTCTTTCTTTCTTTCTTTCTTTCTTTCTTTCTTTCTTTCTTTCCTTCTTTCTTTCTTTCTTTCTTTCTTTCTTTCTTTCTTTCTTTCTTTCTTTCTTTCTTTCTTTCTTTCTTCTTCTTCTTCTTCTTCTCCTCCTCCTCCCCCTCCTTCTCTCTCTCTCTCTCTCTCTCCTCTTCATTTGTAGCCATTAACAAGGAGGGATCCTACTGGTTAATTTCACAGATTATTTAGTTCAACTCCCTTATTTTACAGATGAGGAAATTGATGCTAAAACAGGAAAACAGACTCTCTTGAGAGCACACAGGTAGTAAGTAACAGATCCAGGATGGCTATCAGCACCTACCATCCCAAGAGCTAGATTCCACCCAGTTGGCAGCATTGAAGAGGGACGCGGTGCCTCCATAGCAGGCGTTGGTGGTATCAATGCCCTCTATGTCTGTGTTCCCTGAATCCTGGAAGAGTTCCATGAGCACTGTTTTGACGGCCTTGGACTTATCAATGATAGTCTCTGTGCCCACCTCCAGCCGGCCCACGTTGTCCCAAGGGAGCTTGGTACGCTCCATCAGCCGTTGAACCACCGTCAAGCACAGGGAGTTAATGTCCTCTTGAACAGAGCAGAAACCCATCTGGGTCTGCCCTAAGCCCACTGTGTATTTGCCAGCTTCCACACTGTCGTACTTCTCCAGCTCGGTCTGGTCCACGTACTGGGCAGGAAAGTAGACCTCCAGGGCAAGGATGCCCACATCTTTTGGCCAAGCATCTGTTTTTGCCAGAGGAACAGTGGAGGCTGCGAAAAACCTGTAGTAGAGATAACAATTATAATGCCTTTTATTTATCAAGCTCATTAAACCAATAAAAGATAACATTTGTATGCATTTTATTAAATTTCACAATGTTCCTCCTGGAGAGGGAGGAGGAATGTGGTGGAAGGTGGAGGGGGAGGAAATAATCATATATGCCTCCTACTATGTGCTAGTCTCTGTGCTAAGTACTTTACAAATATTATGTCATTTAATCCTCACTACAACCCTGGGAAATAAGTGCTATTTTCACCCCCATTTTACAGCTGAGTAAATTGAGGCAGACAGCAGTTAAGTGACTTGCCCAGGGATATACAGTTAGTGTCTGAGGCCAGATTTGAATTCAGGTCTTCTGACTCCAGGCCCAGCATTTTATCCATTGTGCCACCTAGATGCCCCATAGGGAGGTAGAATTATTAGTATATAGTTTTTGTCCATCTTGGTTTGTCTCCCAAATCTAATGGGAGGAAGAAGGAATGTACCAAAATAAATCTGTTACCAGGTAGACTCATAAATAAAATGAGATGGTTGGAGTAGATAGTCTATAAAAAAAAAAAGGTGTAACTAGGGCAGGTTGGCTTGTACTATGCTTCAGGGCACTAAAATTTAGATGGGTGCTGACAGAAGCACAGAAACAACTGAGTTTAGCCTTTAGATATCTAGAGTGAGCTTAAAAATAAGCAAGATCTGACTAATTAGGGAGTTAGATAGTGGAATGGATAGAGTGCTGCCCCTGGAGTCAGGAGGACCTGAGTTCAAATCTGAACTCAGACACTTACTAGCGGTGTGATCCTGGGCAAGTCATTTAACCACTGTCTGCCTCAGTTTCCTCATCTGTAAAGTGAACTAGAGAAGGAAATGGCTAGCCATTCCAACATCTTTGCCAAGAAAACAAGAGTTGGGCAACATTAAACAACAGTCTGACTAATTACAGCTCTGACCTCTAAAGTCCTATGATTTTAGGATAAGGTACAAAAGAGAGGTCTAGGCAAAGTACTATGAAAAATTTTATGAGGGAAATCATCTATTTCAACCAATATGGGGCGGTGGGGAGTGGGGAAAAAAAGAGGTCTTCATGGAGAAGATGGTGTCTGAATTGGGTCATGAAAAAGGAAGGAATTTTCCTAGTTGTTTATGGCGATGGGAAGTCCACTCCAGGCAAGAGGAACGGGTGTCAGCAATTGTGTGGAATGCAGAACAAGAAAAAAGAGCAGAGAGTAGTCTGGGTTGACTAGAAGGTAAACTATGTGAAACAAAGTAGGAAGGAAGGAGGACTTTATAAAACCTCCACTGTGTGCCAGGCATTGTGCTAAGCACTTTACGAATATTATCTCATTTAAACCTCACTACAACCCTAGGAAGTAGGTGTCATTACTATCCCCATTTTACAGATGAGGAAACTGAGGCAAACAGGGTAATGGGACTTGTCCAGGGTCACACAGCTAGTCAGCGTCTGAGGCCAGATTTGAACTCAGGAAGATGAGTCTTCCTGACTCCAGACCTGGCACTCTATGCACTATGGAGCCACCTAGCATCCCTTTTTCTTGCCTATTGAGATTCGTATTTATTGGGTTAATCCCAGTAATTATAATTCAACTTTCTGGGAGAGTTTTGTATTTATCTTCTCTTCCTCTCCATGGTCATACCTATTTCCTCTTTGGCTCTATATGCCTTTCTCAGGCTGGATTCCACAACTCTACTCCCTAATTCCACGAATGAAAGACTTGGGCAGGGGTGGAGCACCTGTGATCTCGAGGCCACATGTGGCCTTCTAGGTCCTCAAGGGAGGCCCTTTGATTGAATCCAAATTTATTCTGCCATAGTAAATGCTTAATAAATGCTTGTTGATGGATTGATGCTGCACTGTTTTCCTGATCCCCATCTCTTTCAGTCAGTTGGTGAACAAACATTTATTAAGCACTATGTTGAGCTAACCCCTGGGTACACCGAGAAAGGCAGAAATGTAGTTCCTGTCCCCAAGAAACCTACTTTCTAACAGAGGAGACATCTTGCCAAAAAACAAAACAAAACTGGGCATACAAGATAAATACAGGACAAATGGAAAATTATCTCAGAGGGAAGGTACTAACAGGGAGCGGGTGGAGAGGGGAGGGATGGAAAAGACCTCCTGCTTAAGGGAGATTTGAGTTGACTCTGGTGGAGGAGAGGAGGGAGAGCATTCCAAGCATGGGAGAACAGGCAATTGAGAGATGGAGCGTCACTTCACGGGCAGGGAACGAGGATAGAGTCAGAGAGGAATGGAAGGTAAAAACAAAAATAAGTTAAAAAATCCACTGCGAACAGGACCTAGTTCCTCTTACTCCTCATTTAGCACACTTTTCATTGCACTGCACCCGTTGAGGTGACCCTCTCCCGCTCAAGTCTGTGTGAAGGGAAAAGGCATAAAATGACTGAAAAGTGGTGGAGATTAAGTTTGCCTGATGTCCTGGGGGGACGAAAGATTTTGTTTAATAATCCTACTTCTCGTTAACTGTTTTTGGAGCAATGTATTAGCCAGAGTTTGCAACCTCAGATATTTAAAGAGAATTTATGTATATAATATATATTATATACACTTAAATCTATATACACATGTATGTATATATGTGCATACACACATGTATGTATGTATATATATGTGTGTGTATACATATATATGTATGTGTGTGTATACACAATTATCCCTTCCACATTGTGACTTTCTCCATCAAGGTTTCCATATATTGACGGTTGGCATAAGAATTTAAATGGGAATTTTGGGGAAGTTTTGTAGAAGCCGCAGATGATACAAGAAGGCCAGCAGACAACACAGAGCTTATGACCAAATACTTAACCCAAATTTTACAATAAGGTATTGTAAACCCCGTAAAAGAAGAAGAAAAAATTCAAACTTCTTTTCTGGTACAAAGGGAGGGCCAAAAAAATTTACCCAGATTTTCCAGATTGAAGAGGTGCTACTAACCCCTGCAATATGGAAGGGATAACTGTTTATATATACATATATATATATATATAT